GAACATTGCAATTAATAGAGTTCGTCTTCTTTAAATTGCTCAGAATTTATTTCTGTGACTTATTGGAATATTAGAGTCTCTTGGGGGCCTAATTGCCCTGTAGGTTCTTGCTTCTGCATTATCTTGTGAATGACATAATAGAATCACTACCTCATTTACCATTCAGTTAAGGTTTAATTGAGTTCATCTCTTTTTCCCTTATAATGGTGAGGAACTTATGGAATCAACACACGTTCTCATTTGTATCACCAGACGATGCTCACAAATTGCCCCTTTCTGAATTAGGTCTGGGCTGTTTATAAAATATCTGAAGACCTGCACTGACATCATAAAACTTTTCCCTGATGCAAAGGGCCATGAAGCTAGAAACAGTAGCTGCTCTTTAAATAAGAATTGGCATTTGATATAGGGAGATTAATTTCTCAACAATTTACTTTCCCAGAATCTTTGCATCTACCTGGCAATAAAGTATAACCCCTCTCCCCAGGCTGTGTCTAGGGCTTCTGTGGGTAGTTCTGCAGCCTGCAGTCCCTGTTAGATCTCTTCCTCTTCCTACCTAACAGGATCCAGCATCTCTGTTTACATCACTTGAGTGGAACTGACAGATCCCCAGCTATAAAGTAACCCTCATTCACCAAACTCAAGTAAACCCTCCACTTCTTACTGGCTCAGAGACTGTCTAGAGGGAAACTTGAATCTTTTTTCCATGGTGTGGAAACCATCTTTCTTACACCCTACCCATCCTCCCATGAACAAAAGGCAGCGATTCTTCTGGCAGTCACTTTGCGACCATAAGAAAAGCTACCCTCAGCATGAAAGTGACACCAAAGTGAAGAGAATCTCAAACAAAGCAAGTGTGGACCCAATGGTATGTACTGCAGCAGGCTGGTACAGCCTCATAAGAGCTGTTAGCTACATTTTTCAGGAATCTCATGAGCCTGTTCACGCCATCTTGGTAACTTAAATTGGCCATTGTGGGGCTACTTACACCATGGTAATGTGCAAAATGTACCGATCCAGCTGCTGTCTCTCTCTCTCTCTCTCTCTCTTTCTCCTTTCTTTTCCTTTGTATTTCTGTTTCTCCTCTTTCTTCCCATGAACTCTGTGAGGTACCCATTAGCTCAAAGAGAAACCATTTACCACCACAAAAAGGGTATTTTTATAATTTCTAACTCACAGGTAAAGAAACTAAGGCCCAAGATGTAAATGTTGCTTATCCAGTCTTCAGAGAACTATGTACAGTATGCCGGGGTGCAAAGCCTTTGCAGCCTCCATGCATTACCTATGCTACCCACCTGGCCAAGCCATCAGGACCCTAAAACAGTGTCTCTTGGAAATTTCCTTCATTCTTAGTCTGAGCTGGGTGACTCCACCTGTCATTGTGTGCTTCCCTTGTTTAGAGTGTTTCTTAACAATGCAGAGGACTTATTGGATTTTCTGGTTGTTTTCTTCCATTAGATTTTAAGATAGGGGCTGGGGATTTAGCTCAGCGGCAAAGTGCCTGCCTGGCAAGCGCAAGGTCGTGAGTTCGGTTCCCGATACCAGAGAAAAAAAACAAAAAAAAAAAAAAAAAAAAAAAAAAAGATTTTAAGATAAACAAAAGTAGGAATCTTATTTTCTCTTGTCTATATCTTCAGGCCTAAGACCATGGTCACCCCATGGTAGCTGCTTGATCAATGCTGGCTAAATTACTTGAATGAATAAATGAATGAAGGAATGAGTCCTTGGCATTGGTTGTTACTGCACTGAAATTCAAGGAAAGAAAAAATCTCTAGTATTACCTTTAGCATATATTCTTATATCAAATATATGAATCATCATAAAGCTATCAAGACTCTCCACTTCCCTTTATTTTTTCCCCTCATCTTCATCATCAGATAGGGTCTGCTGGGTATCAGACAGATGGATGAATGTGTTAAGAGATATTATAAAGATTCTTGTCTTTTGTGTCAAATAGATTGTGTCAAATTCCAGTTCCATAATCACTTGCCATGTCATTGTTGATAGAGAGTACATTTCCTCATATGTAAAATGGAGATGATTTCTAGCATTTGAAGGTTGCTGTGTGCCACTAAATAGTTGATAAGTAGCAAGATTCATGGTAAAAGATATTCAAGAAATGTCTATTCTTTATCTTCTTGCTCTGCAACCCTATCTACACTGTGCTTTATTTTTCCTCCTCTGAGGGTTATTTCCTGAGATTTAATATTTACGAGATAAATAGTAAGTATTAAATACTTCCTGAATAGATAGACTTCATTTACTTAGTGTGTATATTATAAATTACTGCTACTTCATCTTACTAATCTCCATGACAATAATGAGTAAATAATAACCACAAATTTTAGCATGCATCATGAGAGATTGGAAGTCAACAAACTATTTTAAGTTGAATCCCTATTACTTATGTGTGTTAAGGTTTTTAAGATTATGTTATAATTTGCTTCCATTCTAAATTAGATCCTGTTGCTTTACTAATGTTTGTATGCACACAGGTACACGTGAGATTGCAAGTGTCTGCATGTGTGTGAGACAGAAACTCAGGGCTGGTTCACAGATGAACAGAAGGTGAGCCCAGGCCATGACAAAAGTGACGTATATTTTGTTATGCTTTTATCTTTCATTCTAAAAGAAACACTTAAGGAAAGAAGAATGGCTGGACTGAGTATAGACTGAGTTACTCTTGTCCTACATGCAGTGCTAAGATTAGATAAATTTACTAGGCATGATGGGAGATGCTTGTAATTCCAGCAGTTAGAACCTGAGACAGGAGGGTCATTCGTTTGAGTCTAGTCTGGGCTACATAGTTAGTTCAAGGCTAATTTAGTCTACAAAGTGAGACCCTGTATTAAAAAATTGATTATAAGCAAGACTTTGGAAAAGATCCTATTGACTATTTTTTTCTGAAAGTTTTTTTATTGGTACATGTTTATAGTACATATTAATTACATTCAATTTGGGGAGTGAGTACATGTACACAACACAGCTTAATTCTTTTTACATCTCCTTTCCATCCTTTCCTGCCTTCTTTAATCTCCTGATTCCCTTCCCATTAGCAAAAGCTCTATCTCCCTGTTTCCTATTATCTATCTTTTATTTTGCTATTTAATTTATTTGTAGTCTGGGCTTTTCATACAAGAGAAACCATGTGATATTCAAACTTGTGTATCTGATTTATTTCACCTAAAATTATGGTCTCAAGGTGCATCCATTTTTCTACTGATGACTCAAATGTATCTTTCATTATAGCAGAGTAGTACTCCATTGTGTATAAATACCACTTTTTTAATCCATTCATCTGTGGATGGACATATAGGCCACTTTCAAGATTTAGCTATTGTGAGTTGTGTTGCAATAAACACAGGTATGTATGTATCACTGTGGTATGGTGTTGTTAGCTCTTTTGGGAAAATATCTAGAAAGGGAATAACTGGGTTGAATAGAATTTATAGTTTTAGTTTTCTGAGGACTCTCTATGTTGATTTTCATAGTAGTTGTACTTACGTTACCCCCAACAGTGCAGAGGGGTTCCCTTTAGCCCACAGCCTTGCCAATCTTTATTATAATTTGATTTCTTGGTGGTGGTATTCTTTCTGGAGTTGGACAGAATCTCAAGAGTGGTTTTAATTTACATTTCTCTAATGGCCAAAGATGTTGAACATTTTTTAATATATTTATACTTTTTTTTCCGAGAAATACCTGTTCATTTCAGTTGTTCATTTCTTGACTGGGCCTTTTATTGAGGGGGTCTAATATTTTTTAGTTCTTTATATATTCTAAGTATTATTCTTCTGTCCAAGGAGCCCACTGACTATTGTAAACATCATATTTCAGCCATCAGGTGAGCCCATATTTAATAGCTGATGATTTTGCCCTGAATAAAATGTTAATCCGTATCAGTCTGCCTGAAGCAGGAGGTTCCAGGGCTGGACATGAGCTGGCTTTTGTGTTGCTAGAGAAGATATATATATATATCTTCCATGAGGCCCACCATACAGAAGTGAAGTTTATCTTGGACTCGGGCACGGGAGAGCTTGGAGATTTGTAGTGGTAATCGTTAGTGGTCTTTGCCTAGAAGGGAGGTTAGGAGATAGGCAGGGAGCTGACCTAGTCAGGAGAACTGGGTCTATGGGATGGCTGCTGTGGAAAGTTACTCTCCAAATCACTAAACCTCAGTTAGGTTTGGAGCAAACCACATCTTCCTTAATCCAGTCCCACGTATGATTTGGGGAGACTGAGCAGTGAACTGACGGTGAGACTACAGCAGAGGTATTAGGGCCCTATCAAGAAAATTAGACACCCAGGAGAGCAGCTATCAGGAAAACTGTGTACATCACAGCAATGCTAAGGGGAAGAACTGACAGATTTGGTCTGGATGATACAAGAAATAGGAAGCTAAGAAATTCATGGAAAACTTAGAGATCATCTGCCCATAGTGGTGGATGGACCAAGTTTAGACCATAGAAAAGAAATATAAAATCAGTTTGTGTGCGTGTGTGTGTGTGTGTGTGTGGTGTGGGGGATCAAAACTTGGGCTTCATACCTACTCTGCAAGGGCTCTATCACTGAGCTACATCCTCAGCCCAGCCATAACATGATTTTGTAGCAATAGACAGGTGATTTGCACATATGTATGAGGCAGCTTTCTTGTCCCTGAGACACCTGCTACTTGAAAATTAAAGAAGGAGCTATTGATTTGACTCGAAGCTTTAGAGGTCCATGGTGTGTGGACTCCATGGAGGAAACATCGTGGCAGAGGGTGTTGTGAAGCTACTTAGCACCTAGTGGCTGGGCAGCAGAGAAAAGAAGCAGCAGCAGAGAGGAAGGGAACAGTACCCAAGGTCTCACTGCTACAGCCCACACAGACACACCCAGAAGTGTGCTTTGCTAATCCCCTGGGTGGTTCCCAAGCCAATCAAGTTGACAGATTTACTCTCCACCATGGAGATTTTGTATTTGTTGAATTCTCAACAACCAGGTTGCAAGTTTCATGACTCCTATTTCACTACTACGGGAAACGAGAGTGAAATAGATCAAGCCATGTGTCTAAGTTTTAACTGCTTGTAAAATGATCACCCTCAGATTTGTGTCCTGTCTGTCTGCCACCCAAGATGCACTTTCATAACACCATTATGCCTCTTCAGGAGTGAAGGTAGGACTGGAGAAGGGTGTGCTCTGCTCTCCAGTTTGGGGTGGTGTCCACTAAGTGAACCTGTGAACGTATTACTGTCCTTGTGTTTTAGCAGTTCTTTCGCTTCTAAGTTGTCTATCACTGTCTTGATATGTCTGAATGCCTTGCTGGAGGAGTGCGATGTAAGGGAAATTTGTGTTTTCATGAGATCCAATAACATTTCACATCTTAAGCAAGACTTTTAATTCTCTGGTCGATGTCTTGAAATTGATTTTTCCCTAGCTGTAGCCCAGAGTGATAGAAAACCTACTTACTGTAATAGGCACTCTCTGCTTGATGTCTTTGAAAAGTATACTGCACAGTTTAGAAGACACTGGGTCTGGCCTGAACTCTACCACAAAGAGCTTTGTGAGCCTGAGATGTCTGTCACATCTAACTCCTTTATTCTGAAACCAGAATTTGGGCTTTGTAATTTCTAGTGTTTTTCAGCTTTGAAGGTCAATGTCGGCGTTGCATTCCTTGGTTCCTAAGTATGTGTTTCTCTGTGACAGAATTCTTAGACACAGTCACAGGAGAGAGAGACAACAGTGATATTCATCAGGTACACACTAGAACTGCTGTAGGGCTTTGTTGTTACAATATTTAAATATTTCCATTCTACTTAGTAAATGGCTGCTGTCCTGAAGCATCCAGAGTGGTCTCATGATACTAGCTGTCTTAACTATGCCAACTTTGTAATTCATAATCACTGGGCTGACACATTTGGTATCATTTTTAAGGGTTAAAATCATTTTCACATATATCTAAAGCAACTGTAATCCTCAGTAGAGACTTAGGGATGAAAAAGGAGGGAGGGAGAGAGAAGGAGCAAGCAGAAGAGAGGGAGGAATGGAGGAAAAGAAAAAAAGGGAGAAGAGGGAAAAATCAATGCCAGCCATGTCACCAGTAGGGAGTGGGATGATATACACGGAAACAGCACCATACTAGACATGGTTCTGTGTCACCTATTCTCTCATTAGTTTGCCCTTTTTTCTTTTTTTTTTACTCAGTAATTAAAAGAAAGAAATAATGTTTTCCTGAATCTTTTGCCTAGCATTCATTATCAATGGAATAAATCATGGAGTAGATCGATATCTTCAGAAGGTAGGCATCCAATACTTTGAGAAAGAAAACACACAGAAGGAAAGCACTTCTAGTGTCATTAAATGAACTTGAAGTGATTCTTCTCTTAAAAATGAATAAAATGTTCTGTTGTACTCTGGTAAAGAGAAAGAGACACTCACAAAGTGGTCTTTTACTGATCTGCAGACAGGACTCCTTACAAAGGTAATCTAATAATCCTCTATTCCATTTAAAGACTATACAGGCTTATACATTTCTAGACATTTTAAATGATTTACCCAATGACCCTTCAAGCCCTACTGATCCTAGGATTGTTATTACTCTTGCTTGATGGGTATTTAAATAGACTGAAGTTGAGTGAGATCTTGGATGGTAATAGGGTATTGTTGTGTGGTTTTCTTTCTTCAGGCTTATTGTCTAGAAAGGCCCCCCAAAATTACAAGCCCATGGCTCTGAGGAATTTTTTCCTTTGATTGACATTGAATACCTTTCAGAAAGCTCTCTGAAGTTTTTTGAGGATCTATTGCCATTCTTGACAGAGTTTTGGAGTTGATTACATTGAAGCCCACTTATCTTCCTTAGCTGATTGAAGATGTTGCTGATGTGCTTTTTTAATTAGTTTGTGAAGTGGGTGGAGTTGGAGAAAAGTCAATTTCATCTTCCTAAAATCCAATCAATGCTAGTTGACTGAATGACTTTAGTTTATTTAGCTGATTGACCCTGGACTTCTACACAAGTTGTTTTCTCTTATTTTCAATTTTGATGATTAAAAAATGATTTAATTACAAAAGTCACTTCTATGTTGCTTAACATGTTTGCATGAAAATCGACTCCATCTTTCCACCTTATTTATAACTCATAAAGTGTACAATATTGGTCTGAATTCAGTACTCTTTGCTATTCCAAATTATGAAGTGAGACAGCACAGATTTTCCTGCTAACTTTCCATTTTCTTTGCTGCACAGACAAGTATTTATAGAAAGAGAAGATTGCCCAAGCCTTTGCAAAAATATTTACAGTGCACTAACTTTTGTTGCAGTTTACTTCAGGGTTTTTGTGGTGCAGTATTTTACAAATCCTTTCACTTGTTTGAACTTTGCGTATTGAAATAATGAATAGAAAAATGGTGGTTCTAATTTATTTGAAGAAGAATTATTGTGACTGCTTGCCTGGGGATCAAGCTGAAACGCTTACAAAACCATTTCACATCTCAGACAACAACCAACCAAATTTTGCTTCTGTCAAAATAATAGAAACAAATGATTCCACGGTAGAAATGCTGCTAGTAAACATTTTCATCAGAATCAAACCCTGTGGCTATTAAAATTTATCCAAATTAAATGTTTATTTCTGAAACAAATGCCTTTTCTGTAAAAATATTTGCCAGAAAAGATACCACTACCCGTGAGGGGGCAAGTTCACTTATGTGAAAGATGTATGTAGGATCGTTGAGTGCTAATTCAGTAGAGAAAACTTTAATAAACTTCTGCCTGAAAGGAAGTGTTGACTCTACAATTTTAAGTTGGTAATGAATCTTTATTCTAAGGCTTTATTTCCCAAAACTTTGGGGGCAGGGTTCTTTGCCAGGCATTGAAACTAGGGCTTTGTGAGTGCTATGCCCATGCTTTGCTATTGAACTACACTCTCAGCCCCTCCAAATGGCATTTTTAAGAAATTCTACAATTGGCTTATGAGGAATACGGGCTGGTCACTATTAGTAAAATGTACTAATTCATCATTGACAAGTTCCAAACTAGATTCAGGTCCTTGTTTCCTTTTGGTTGGTTTGGTCCTAGGGGATCTGAAGGGAACAGAGGGGATGGGAAAGCATTGGATTTGTATGGATTAGTATTTACCACACTCTGGCTCAGCCCAAGAGATGGATTTTGGGAGACCGACAGGTATGTTGAAGTCAACAGATTGAAGGCACAAATGAAGATCAAAGAATTTTTGTAATAGGAGAGGTATTAGGATACCTGAGCTATAAATCTGATGATCAGAGAGTACAGGGCTTGAAATCAAGATAATGGAAGTAACTCTTATGAGTAATTATGAGACCCAGGTTAAGATCATAAGAGTTGGTGATTAAGATGAACTGATAGGAAGGTTATTGAAAGTGACAGGCTGGGGTGATGGATGAATTATTTCTTAGATGCTGAAGTTGCCAGGAGTGATAACAGGGACACAATTAATTTTGGCAAGCAAGGCAGTGAGCTGGGTCCTACAATTCTCAGTAAATATGGAGTCTTAATTGGACACTTGCTAGATGAACACAGGTGTAGTAGTGCATGTGCTACTGGGTGTGACTCCATGAGGCCTCCAAGAAAAAAGGGTGAGAAACAGCATGCAGCAAGGAAGAGATCTTCTGCTGCCCACACCCCGCAGGATGTGGAAATAGCAGAAGAACATCACTATTGGTCAAGGCTGTTGGGAGAGTCATGCTGTCAGACCACAGATTCAAGCAAGAGTGAAAAAAGACAGCACCTGCCTGGAGAAAACGGTGAGATTCAAGACCTAGGCTGATACACCATAGAGAAACCAGCACAGCTACGTTCATTGTGACACAATTCACAATAACCAACATACGGACCAGCCTAGATACCCATCAGCAGGCCAATGGGTAAGGAAATGAGGTATATACACACAGTGGAGTGTTATCCAGCCACAAAGAAGAACAAATTATATCATTTGCAGGAAAATGAATGGAGCAGAAGACCATCATGTTAAGCAAAATAGGCCAGACTGAGAAAGATAAGTACTGCATATTCTACTTAAAGTGTGGACTCTTTTTTAGTCTTTTTTTTTTTTGTTTTTCTCCGGTACCAGGAATCGAACTCACGACCTTGCGCTTGCCACTGAGCTAAATCCCCAGCCCCCTCATTTTGTTTTTTTGAGGCAAGGTCTCACTGTGTAGCCCAGGCTGGCCTCAAACTTACGGTAACCCTCCTGCCTCAGCCTCCCAAGTGCTGAGATTACAGGCGTCCACCACCATGCCCAGCTAATAAGTGGAATCTTTAAACCACACACATATAAAAGATTCATGAAAATAGAAGGGTGCCTCTTATTAGGCATGAGAATAAAATAAGGAAAGAAAAGGAAGGGACATAAAGGAGGATAAGAAAGGGAATAAGTATGACTGAAATGTTATATGCATGTATGAAAAATACCACATGCAAACCCAGGATTTTGCTAAATGATGTACAGTTGTAAAAACTACATTGAAAATAATTTGGCAGATGGTAGACTGGATTTCAGAAGGAACGGTGAAGTGGGTGGGAATCCGGGCAGTGACGGGACACTGGCTCTGATTCGGAGATTAAAGGGACACAGAAGGATCAAAACACAAGAAATAGTGGGGATCTGGACGAGAGGAAACTCTCCGGAAGTGGCTAAGGTAAGCATGGACAGAGAGCATCAGCAGGTTAGCCGGCATTGGCCTTTTACATGCAGGTCTCTGCATAGCCTTTCTTAGGGGCTGTCCCAAGCCGTGTGCAGGGGTGTCATGGGAGGCACTGTGGCTGCAAGGCAGGCCACTTTGCCGGCATCACCCAGGGCTTCAGGGCTTTTCTGAGTGCCCTGTGTGTGGTGGCTGTATTACAGGAGGGAGGTAGTGGGCCACAGAGGCCACGAGGCATCTCCAGAGAACTCAGAAGTCGGATTTAGATTCTTGCTTGTGCAGCGCTCACTCCCTGCCCTATTGATAGATAGATCCAAGTACCAGACATCCTTAGGGTTCAAGATGGTGGGTTCAATACAGGCATGCTTCACCCCTGCTCACCACTTCACAAGGAAGGAAAAATTGAGTGCAGACTCAGCATTTTCAATTTAAATGCTTCTTTTTTTTATTTTCTCACCTTAAATAACTCAAAAGGCTAAAGTCCTTTTCCTGAAGGTCTTCAATTATTATTATTAACAAAGAGTGAGTGGATTCAAGTGTTTGATGGCCTCTGCAAACCAGATAGCACTTCTTCCTCTTTCGAGAAGAGCTGATAAAAGGGCCTGGGGACCCTAGCGCAGGAGTGGGAACTCTTAGGCAGGCAGCCTCATTCCCTCTGAAGCGCTCCGTGGGTCTGGTGAGGCACCTGATCTTGCTGGGCGTGTTTCCTAGTCTGTAAGATCTCTCTGGAGGACTGTGAGGAATAAATAATTAATGGTTGCAAAGCCTGAGACTAGGAGTGCTATGGAAACAGAAAAGCAACAAGACAAGGACTGTCCGTGCTGTTCCCCTCCAGTGCTTAGAGCAACAGCACCTGAAACAAACACACACACACACACACACACACACACACACACACACACTCACACACACCCTTTCCTCAACCCTGTTCCTACTGAACCCTGCCTTGACTTTTCTGCCACTTCTGTGATGTCCATGCATCCCGCACCCTTCCCTTTCATCATACAACCCAGAGGGAAGCACATCAGATTAAACACCATCAGCTTGGTGGGCTTAAACATGTCCGTTTAACGTCACTGTGTGCCTACCCCAGGTGGGCTCGGTACTTGTCCTGACGGCCTGAAGGTGAAGCGCTTGACTCCCGGCTGCACCAACAGCCCTGTGCCCAGAATCTGGGAATGTGGGACAACCAGCAGGGCAGGCTCCTCAGGAATCTCTGCACCAGAGCCTGAGAAATCTTGGGAAATGAGAAGGCAGAGGGTGGGGCAGGACAAGTTCTTTCTAGAAGCACTTTGCTTCCTCCTCTCTCTACAGTTTAGAATCAGTGTTTCTAGTTGGGATCCTGGCGCGTTATTGAGAAGGCCCGAGACCCAAAACTCTGCTATTTGAGGGTAGCAGAAGATGGATGTGCCAACTCAAGAAGAGAGATAATTGACCCTTCCTCCTCATTTCTGTGCTATCGGAGCCCTCAACAGATTGAGTAATGTCCAACTTCATCGGTGAAAGGCGATCTTCAATCTTTGTGTACTGATTCCAGTGTATCTTTGGGAAACAGCCTTGTAGACCCCATCCCCACCCTAATAATGTTTTACCAGCCGTCGGGGCATGCCTTAGCTGTCAGACTGACACAGAAAAGAACCTTTGCAACTGGGCTTTTGTATTTTGAAAGATCACTCTGAGTGTATAAGAGACGGTGGCCCAGAGAGCACCACTCGTCATGGCAGATCCGACAGGCTTGACACCCAGAGCTCATCACTGTACAATATTCCTCTTCCTTAGTCTACAGAACTAATTTTAGTAATAATCACTATTTTCTTGATTTGCTGTTCAATGTTAAGGTAATGTAAAAAAAAGTAAGTTTCAATTTCATATGATTTTTAAATTCAGTAAAATATTTCAGACATGAGTTTAAATTTGCATTTACCAAACAAACTAAAAAGTTGTGTTGCCCTTTGCCGTTTTTAAGTTTCAGGCTCTGGAACTCTACGAGATCCCACAGAATGACAGAGGTCTTTGTCTTTACAATCAACACCTCATTATTACTTCAAATCTATGGTTTACATGGAGGACTATGAAGGATTCAGGTGACTGAACACATAGCCATAAACTGTACCCAAAATGATCTGGGCGGACTCCAAACCATTCCTTTCCTACTCCTCCAAGGGAATTCTGTAGCTGAGCCTGTGTGTTTGGAGAAGGATCGCACGATCAAGAGTTCTCTGAATTAACTCACATGTAGCGTGCCATGTGTTTTAAAGATACATGATCGAAACTAGATTATTTGAAGCCTGTACTAAGGCTGTTAGTTTTGTTGTTCTTATTATTATTCAAAGCCCAACAACAGCCAAAGCAATTGTTAAGGTATTAGGTCAGCTGTTTTTTTTTTTTTCAGGGAGGAGTTTATCAGCATCACTGTTAGAATAGCTGATGCCTACCCAGAGTAAAAAGCAGGCTGATTTTCGCTGATTTTATTAATTTTGGATCCTCTTGGAACTTGTACCAATAGGGTAGGCCTCTCCCATTGTCCCGACATTGCCCCTGCACTGCTACTTAGAGCAAACAGAATATACAAAAACAACCGTGAGGGAGGGTCTTCTCTGCGCACAGGGCGCTGCTCACTTTAGATAGTAAGAGAGTTCTGGCAGTGCTTGGGAGGAGAGCACAGTATCAGCAACAAGAAAGAAGCAGATGTGTCCCAAAGACCTTAGTGGGCACTTGGTGTCCACCAGGTCACCCAGCACTGGGAAAATTCCCAGAGGATTTTGCAAGCAGAGGGACATTTTGCAGAATTAGAAGCTTGTGTCACAGTGAGACGCAGCATTCCAAGAGATATCCAAAGTTTAGTAAAACTGAGAGAACATCTGCCCCTGAGAAAGCACACAACCTAAGCAGGGCAAAGTTAAATAAGCAAGCAGCATACTAGAGCAGAATAGCATTTACTTGAACATTGTGTGTGATCTGAGGAACAGAATGCTATACAAATGTGTGAGGAATCTGGGGAAAGTTTCTGGGAAAAACGATGCTTACACTGACTTAAAATCAAAATGAATAGAACTTAGTGGCCTTTAAGAATGACTTTGTTCTGTTTTGGCTTTAGGTATGGATCTTGGATAGGGAAGATATTTGGGGACAGTGGATCCTTTCAAATTTACTTTTTTTTGTTTGTTTTGTTTTTTCCGGTACAGGAATCGAACTCACGACCTTGTGGTTGCCAGGCAGGTGCTGTGCCGCTGAGCTAAATCCCCAGCCCTAAAGAAAGGTTTAATTTTTCCTATTTCCACGCCCCCCCCGCCCCCCGGTACAGGGAATCGAACTCACCACCTCGTGCTTGCCAGGCAGGTGCTGTGCCGCTGAGCTAAATCCCCAACCCCCTCAAATTTACTTTTAAATTAAACATTTTAATACTCAAGATTTTCTTCCCTTTTCCAATGTGCTAGGTCTGTGCTTGACAAACTATATTCATTATCTAATTTTATCCTTGTTGGGGGTGGGTGCATTATCATCCTCATTTTACAAAGGTGGACACTGAGGCTTTGAGTAGCCAAGAAATGTACCCAAGGTCATGAACTGTGAACTGGCAGAGGTGGGATTTGAATGCAAAAAGCCTGACCTCAGGGCTTAGGATTTAATCTTTCCAAACATGAACCCAGGAAGACATTTGAATCACACAGTTCTCCCTCTTCCCAAACTGCCTGGGACACTGGTGTTGCTCTACTCTGGCAGTGCCTGCAGGCGTTCAGCTGGGCTGCGGTTGGCAAAAATACACACCATCAGCAGCGACCACCCGGTGGGAGAGAGTCAGGGTTGGTGTTCAAACGTCATATGCACTGTTCCTTGCCAATACGATGTTGGCAAAGTTTCTGAGCTCAGTTTCCCAACCATAATGCGGGGCTACCAAGAGCTACATTTCAGAATATTTTGAAGATTAGATGCAAGTAGGTACAATAGCACCTGGCACATAGTAGGTACTTGTTCACTTGCTACTCTGATGGGTCAGAGTTTGCTAAGCAGGGCATAAAGATCTTGCTTTTTATTTCTGAAGAAAATCTAGCAGCATTCAATTTGCTCCCTTCACAGTGACATATTTTGAATCCTAAGTAAAAGACCCCAGGATTGCTATTTATTTTAAACAACAAACACCTGTCATTGCTCAAATTAGAAACACTTGTAGAACCACGTTACAAAATATTTATAAATTCACAAATGTGTTTTAATTGCTGCTAAGTAAAATGAATTCAGCTGTAGTTTTTCACTTTATGAAAAATATGCCTTTATTGCTTTCTCCCTCTCCTAATTATAGCTGTTGAATATTGAATTTGTGCAGCCAATTGTACGGTATTTGTGCTACAGGGAACTTTGAAGCTTGGAAAGAAAGGCAGAAGAAGGTGCTGGAGAGAGATGCTTGATGTGAAAGAAGCACTTTGCATTTCAGATGAAAATTAGGCCAAGACGGTGATGTGTTTTGCCACCCAGCTCCAACACACAGGGGGAAGTTCCTTTCCATAATTTGTGATGCATATGTTCCTTTTACTTGGTAATGTAAGTCTGAAGGTATCTGTGTATTTACTGTCATAATTTTTGTTTCCTCCTATACTTTGGGGAACTTAATAACAGTTTTATCGAAAAGAATAAGTAATGCAGCTTAACTTCCACTGGTTTTGGCCTTACTTGAATTATATCTCTGACCCAATTTCTGAGTCAATTTTTAAACATTAAGGTTTCCACATGTTGTTTCCTAATTTAGCGGAAGTTCTCTGTGGGAGATTTATAAACCAAGAATATTCGGGCCCTGTCTAATGTACATATATATGTTTTGATTGCTGTTCAAAATGTTCAACATTTTTTAAAACTAAGATTTTTTTCATAGTAGCCATTTGAACAGATATGGGGTGACATTTCATTTTACCCTTGGCTTTATTTCCCTCAAGGTTAGTAATGTTGAGCACCTTTCCATGTACCCATTAGACATTAGTATGTCTTATCTTGAAAAATGTCTATTCAGGTCTTTTGCTCCTTTTACTCCCTGTACATAATGCCTTCATACTGAGCTACATCCCCAGCCCTTGTTTCATTTTAAAATTTTGAGACAGAGTCTTAAGTCACTACGTAGCTGGCGCAGGCTGGGTTGAATGTTTTGATCCTTCCAGTTCAACCTCCCAGCTTGCTGGGAGTCCAGGTATCAACCACGGTGTTTGGATCTCTTGTTCATTTTTAACATGTTATTTAGTGCTTTTCTCTCGAATTGTTTGAATTCCTTGTGTATTTTGGATATTAGCATGCTGTGTTTTGAATGTACATGTCACTTCCTCCAAAGTTCATGTGTTAGGATTTTAAACCCCAAAGACATGGTATTAAGAGGTGGGCCTTTACAACATGAATAGGTTTTGTGCCTTATAAAAGGATTCTAGAAAAATAGCTAGTCCTTTTTGCCTTCCTTTTTTACCATATCAAAACACAGTGTTTGTCCCTGTAAGAAGACAGAGACATGGCTTCATCTTGGAAGCAGAATGTAACCTTCACCACACACTGCATCTGCCCACACTTTTAGCTTGGATTTTCTAGCTCCCCAACTGTGATAAAGAATTTCTGTTGATGCTAAGTTACCTGATCTATGATATTTTACTACAATGGCACTAAAGGACTAACACATAACCCTTTAGGAGATATGTGGCTTGCAAAGATTTTCTTCAGCTTCACAGGCTGGCTTTTCACTCTGCTGTTTTCCTCAGTGTACAGAAGATTTTTAAGGATGCAGAAACCCATGTATATTGTTGATGGGAATGTAAATTAATGCAGGCAATATGAAAGCAAGCATGGAAGTTGTTTTGCTAAATTTAACCTTTTGTACTTGTGTATGTTTTCGAAATGCTGGGGATTGAACCCAAAGCCTCCCATGTGCTAGGTAAACACTCTACCCCTGTTAGCTACATCCACAGCCCAGCATAGAAGTTCTCCAAGAAATTAAAACTAGAACCTCTATATGATCATCAATCCTGCTTCTGTACATATATTTAAAAGAAATGAAATCAGTATCTCAAAGAGATAGCCACATATACAGTCATTAATGACAGCCAATATATGCAAGCAATCTAGGTGTTAATTAATAGATGAATAAAAAGTCATAAATTTACATATTTTATATAAATATATGGCATATGTAAATATAGTATATATATATATATATATATA